GCGTTTTCAAGTAAAACATCCGAATAATGCGCCAGTAATAGTTATGTAAGTATTTATAAAAAGTGTCCCTAACCAAAAATCGAACATATAAAATATAGCCGTTATAGGATGCGTACGAGTAAATCATGTATAACCCAATCAAGTCGTTGGGAATATTTCCGACAGCAGGAAAAAATTATTCAGAATCGAATTAAAATATATAGTTACATAAACAACGAATTAAAATAACTGCCATTGGACGAAACACGTTCGGATTATGATTTTGTCCGACAACAGCGTTGTGATATTACAATGTCCATGAAATCGTTGAATTTAAATTATGTCATATTATTTTTTAGACGTCGTGGGTCTTCTCGTTGATTCATTACGTAGTGGTGTTATACTATTGTGCAACGGTTCGGAGGTAAAAAAAAAAAAAAAGGACGCTATCTAAACAATGCGCGCGGTTTCACCCGTGACACAACTTTGAAGAATCGGGTCAAGTTAATTTGGCGTATGTACATATTATCATATGTTATCATTGTAATATTGCGCAGTACTTATGGGTATCATTTTATTGTTCTCGTAATCATAACAATTAAAAAATAAATAAATAAAATAAAAATTCATTATTATTAGCAGATCCCTATCGTTTCGTAAATCACGCGTGCTAGTCAGAATGCGTTTTTGAAGTCGACACTATTGTAATTTTAATCGTAATTATTTAATAATTATTCAATTGCAAATATTGTACATCACGAGCTCTGTTCGGAAATGCCAGATAACCGGAGCACTACGCGGGCTCGACTTGTCATAAATTCATATTTATATTGTCTCGTCTGGCTTTCGCTGCAACCCGAAACAAAAGGGCGACCGTTAAACACAAAAACATAAAAAGATTACAAAAAAAAAAAAAAAAAAAACGCGGAAAGTAGGTCAATTATTATTGTTTGGGTATTTGAATATGCGTGGACCAGTTGGTCGTTAAATATTTCCGGGTACATTCCAGACATTTAGTTAACGAGCGTATCCTGAATGGAGTATTTCGCACAAGGAGCCTGTTTTGCCCTCTGAATTTTCAGAAAGAGTCCTTCAATCCTTAATGATCAAACACGAAGATAAGAGTTCTTTAACAATACAAGTTTTTCCCTCTTTGATCAAGATTTTAATAAGTCTCTCGGTTCTGATTAGATTGTACACTACACGCTATGACGTTTGATCACAATATCATTTATTATTGTTATTATTTATTTGTTTATTTTTAACACTTTGTTAACCATGCTAGAAAATGTAATGATTCTTTTTTGTTGAAAATCAATGCACATAGAGGTAGGTACATATTTATAATGATATACGGAATACTTTTGTAGACATGTACGCATACAATATTTTCATGCGATTAAATACAGTTAAAAATCTAAAGTAATTAAAGAGCACATACATACATACATACATGCATACGCGTTTCTCTGTACCAATTAATTCTATGAATTTGTTTAAGCTTTGCGTACAAATGTAATTAATACTTAGTATGATATAATTATTTCCATTTGGATGAACAATCATTACAAACGAATACTGTAATTAAACTATAATTATTGTTATGTTATTTTAATGCTATAAATTTATGTAAATTAGGATTTTAATTTTTTTGTTAACTATAAAGTTTACATTTTACTGGTTTTCCCTATTGTTAGTCAAGCTATCGAAAATAAAGTACAATACAGTTTTTAATTATTTCAGATCCTATAGTTTACTAACACTTATTAAAATAAAATAAATATTATACTACTATCTTGCGTTGAAACGAAACGTAAATTTATCGGAAAAAAGGGATAGGTACAACTATTAAGCTGATTTTTTTAAAATATTACTGTTGAGGATTCAAATTAAATCGTGTTATTTTGATGAAAAACGTAAACGAGTAATTAGCAACATAAAGATACAGTTAGCATTCGTGACAACGTATTTTTTAATAAGTAAATTTAGAAATATGTGATAAAATATCATAGTATGTTATACAGTAACAAATTGATTACATTGGAATAAACTTAATTAGCTGTCCACAGGTGTTTAACGTATTTTTGAATTTTTATTTCCTCATAGTTATTTTTCCACAGTCGGTATATCGACAAGTTTATACTGCTGAATGTATAATTTTATATTATACTTTTTCAAGTATTAAATTGTGGAACAAAAATACCGTTCGAAGTCATTCAATATGAATAGTTAAATGGTTTAGTGGTCAGTTTGAAAAGAAAAAAAAAACTGTAAAAAAACTGACTAAATAATATAGATAGTATTAAATATGAACAATAGATTGATATTCCGCTAAACGAATCACCACTCTTATGAATCTTTAATACATGAACCGTATTAGACGAAGTGATTGACCATTGTTTTTGATTGTGAAATTTATCAAAAAAAAAAAAAAAAAAAAACAAAAAAAAATCATATTCACTCGTTTCCCTTGAACGAGTCCAATAATAATTGTGAATCACTTGAAGACGATTTGCCACCCATGGTACAAGTACAGTTTTACATAACGGGCCATACTTTTTTAAAATTTTTTATTTTCGAGTACCTACTCTTTTAACGGGAAGCCTACGACTTGATATGACCGGAAGACAATTATTTAATGGACCACATCCATTCTGCCGACAAATGAAAAATTATAATGGGTGAAATTAGTACTGGACTTTTTGTGTTGTCAAACGACTAGAGAAATGCACTATATACAGACACTAATCGGTAATCTTTTGGTCTCCAACGAAACGAATTTCATTTACGAGACGTGCAATTACGATCAATTATTTACACTGTGTCTACCAATCTACCAAGCGCGATATGGTAATTAAGATATTAAAATAGTTGACCAACAATTAAGGATATTTATCCAGGAACGAGGAAAAATTATGCTATTGCTATTTATTTAAAAAGTAAATATTAATAAACGTTAGAAATCGATAAGTGATTGTACCTAGGTTTTTTTAGATATTTTTATATTTTCCTCAAATATTTATTCAGTGTTTTATCGAACATAACAGTTACTTGATGTAGGTACAAATTTGTCATTTTAGTGAATATATTATTATAAATTATAAACTATTGAGGATACCTTAAGCGATGTATAATAACGATTGATCATATTATTGAACCACGTTCTATACCAATAATAGATACTTCTTTTACTTCCACTGGAGAATTTCTAAAATTTTAGAATACATTCATTGCCTAATGAACTCAATCCACGGTGCGTCTAAAAACATATGTATCCTTTACGGTCGAATGAACCTTCGGCTCGCTTATGATTTTGATTTCTGGGTTATTGAATATACACGAGTGTATTATGTACCTACCTACACTACAACTATCTACGTGTAAAGCGTAGACTATATTTAATGTAAATTGTTGAACCTATTTCATGAATACTAGGTTTGGAATAATGTTGTCTTGTATTATAAACGTATTTAGTATTGTAATAATCTTAATAAATATCAATCGAATGAACAAATAATATAATAATTATAAACGATCACAAACGTAAATTTTCAAAATTAATTGAACATTTTGAGTTGATTTAAGATTTTGTGTAAAGCAAGGAATCCTTTTTTTTTTATTTAACTAAGCTTATTTCATAAACCTAAGTTATACAATACTGTTATTAATAATTTGTTTCTATAGTTTTATAATTTTATTTCAATCGATTAATTTTAAGTGTACCACTATTAAAGTCTTTTAAATTCAGTAAAAAACAATTAATAATAACAATTTTAACTTTAAATGCATACATTTTATTCTTTATTATTACATAGAGCTCAAAATGTATTACTTATACGACCATTATTATTTTAAAACATCGATCGATCACAATAACGAGTGTGTTTCAATCGAATACCAAAATGGTTTACAATATTTTATCAGACAACTCTTTTCCTTTGGCATATTATTTGAAGTCGTGGATAATTACTATATTAAGCCAAGATTAGTTTGATATTCCCGAAGCGAATTATCGTCTTGAGGATGAAAACTTTAATTAAATTACAAAACGAGATTTATATTTTCAGATAAACTTATTTGAAAATCTATTTGCGAAACGAATAAAAAAATTGTATTTCATACGCAAAGAGATTTAAAGGGCGGCTCAAGCGTGCGATTAAGTCGATTGTTTTAGAAATTTTTGCTTTTCGCGCGTTACACCGTTGGATATTATTGTTCCGTTCTACAAAAGCAAATGGCTTCACGTGACACTTATAAATGTACTTTTTGCAAAGCGGTTGAAACGATATGCGATTACTGTTGCGGCCCGATAACCGCGCAATTTTATGTTATAACAGGTGCAGCAGAATCTCGACAATTCAGAGTGCCCAGCATCGCGGACGACACTAGACCAGTCCGACGAATCGCGTGGTTCGGAGGACTATTCGAGTTATTGGTAATGGCTAAGATAACTTTTCAAAAGGATCGCATCCGTCTCCGTTCCGTACTGATTTGTCGAGATCCCGCCGTTTGCCTGTCCAATGATCGTGCGTACACTCGTGTGCTTCAGCGGTCCTATACATTTATTTATTTATTCGACCTGTACATCAGCGTTTCTCAACCTTCTTAACGCCGCGACCCCCAAACCAGGTAAAAAATAAAATTAGTCGCCTCACGACTTACCCTCTCATATCCTAGTAATAAAAACCGATTTAAGCTTTTATCTGTTTTACCAGTTACGAAATATACGAGTATTACGTCGTTGATCATTAACGGAAAAAAAACGAGAGTTTTTTTAATCGCTAAATGAAGTTTATAGTGTATTTATACTACGAACTAACTTTTTCATTTTTATCGTTATGTTTTAATTTTTCATGAAATGTTTTGTTTTCCTACATCATCGTTCAATCGATCCCGACGTACGCGACCTCTCATCTAAGGGTTCGTAAACCCCCCCGGCGGTCTCGAGCCCCAGGTTGAGAAACGCTGCGCTATACATTACATGTCCATATACCACTATTTACATACGACCCGAGACTAACCAAGTATCAGGACGCATCTCGACCACATGTTCCAAACGTGTCCCCGATGGCAGAGTGATGCTGGTGGTGGTGGTGGCGGTGCGGACGATTTACGCACATAACAGACGCGAACCGGAGCGGACCGTAAGTATTTCGGGACCCGCGGATACTGCGGCACTGCGTCGCGCCGTCGCTCGGGATCTCTATAGCCTCCGCCGCCGCCGCCGCCGTGTCGTGGGAGTAAACGTCGCGCCCCCGCCTCCTACCGATCGGTCGGGTTTCCGGCGAGGGGAGTGGGGTGGTGCGCTGGTGGGGTAAAGGGGAGAGGGGAAAACGTTGTCGTCGAGAAGGAGAAAGAGCCGATGCGCGTGCGCGCGTGTGTACGTGTGCTCGGAAGAAAGTGAATCCCCCGGACGACCGTGGGCAAGGACGCGCCTGGTGAGGTGACGTCACACACGAGTACGTACACGAATCGAGTATGTTATCGATCGAAACGTTCAAGACCGTTGCCGTTGTTTACTTGAAACACCAGTTGTCTGTCTGAAATTATTTTTTTTTGCAACGGGTATAGCTCTCCGTGATCCAAAAGCGATTGTACGTTTTCGGCGTTTACCAGTTGAAATGTTAGAAATAAACAATGGGTACTATTCCACCCGAGGTCGATAGATTATTACAGCTGACAATGTTTTGTTTTTTTCATCGACACCTTTTATCTGTGTACGTTTTGCCATTTACATTTTTAGGAACGTTAAAAAATCAAACGGTTAAGGAAAACATTTGCCGATTAAGCATATAAAGACTTAAGTTTCGTAAACCCTCGGACTAGTGTTCATCTTGTTTTTATTGTACACAGCGAAATTTACCAGTTACTACGGTTCCGTCAGACGTTGCACGACTGAATGAACCAAAAATTTGAAAATGCCGGACTTCATTCTCCGGATTTCAAGCTACGAAATCCAGATTTCTAGACCTGTAATCAGAATTTTCTATTCAAATTCTTACAATTCTATTTATTAACCGTTATTTAATTCTCTGTAATCTAAAGTATTGTTCTACACTTGAAAGGGTTAATTGAACGATTAGGTTCGTTTGGATCGGATAATTAAATAGTTAATATAGTTTGTTAATTTCGTTAATTTTGTTCATTGAACGATGAGCGAACTAAATCATAATTACTAGGTACTTCATAGAACCGGATAAAACAAAGATCCATTGGATTAATATGGGCGTTCTTCATTTGGGCGAACGACCCAATATATACATACAATTATTTGCAAATGACATAGCTGTAGTAATTAATAGGAGAGTCTTAATAACAAGTTTCAACGAATGCCGAATTCCAAAAGACCGGATTTTTCGTACTAGCCGTATGCTGTCCTACCGTAATCCGCGATCTATTATGGCGAGTTTTACCGAAATAGTCTTCGCCCACAACGCGTTCGCTTTCCAAACGGTTATAAATAGAACGGATATTAGTGACGGCAGACTAATGAACTGCTAATACCTCTGAATAACATCCGTACTGATGCCGTCTGATGCGACCCGATTCTAGTGCTGTACTACTCTAAATGATTAAACATAAATTACACGCAAAACTGTGTGCTCGCTTTCCTTAGTTACACCGCAAGTCCGCTGAAGTTACATGTATAATATCGCGTAGAGGAGCACACCGCATCATCATGGACGTACATTATTGCATCGATTATTTTATTGTACACTTACTGCAGCTATACGTTACAAAAACGACTAAACGAGAAAGACTTTCGTTTTTATAACAACTCATTAAATATCGTTTTCGAAACAATAGTACAGTCAGGCGTAAGATTTTAAAATAAATTATGATGTCGCGAAAAACACCACAAATAATAACTTTACACAATGACAAACAATAAATATATAAGTATTTTTGTTTCGATTCACGTTTAAAGTTCTCAAAAACTTATTGTTATTAATAATTCGTAGTACATTGTTTTTGTTCCAAGACAGAAAATGTACTTAAATTACCCTTGAAATGTTGTGCTACAATACACCTATTAAATTTTTTGAACATTCTATCATTCTCGTGTTCATTAGTATATACGGATCAAATCTTTTTAATAAGTAGACTACGTGATAGTCAATTTGGGTTGTCAGCATATCATTTTATTCGGTTTTATTTCAAACGTTGATGGACTTGATAAAATTCAATAAGCTATTATCATGATATTATCTGCTTGCGTACTATGCTACCTATTATATTATATAAGCTTCCTATGTTGGTTCAAGACTTCCTATTTGGTAGTCAATGTGTCGTATGCTTAGTTTTAAAGTTTAACTTCAATGTAAGTATCAATAAAGTGTTGTGACCACAGAATTTTATGATTCTGAAAAATAATCATGATTGTGAATATTAAATTAGTAAACATGTGGGACGTAATAAATATTAATCAGAATGACTAAAGTTGAATGTTGCAACTTAACTTAAGTATAGGTATACTATTTATAAGTGTTTGGATGATGATACATATTTCAATAAAAATAATAAAATAATATTGCATAGTCCTTATAGAGATAAAATCCGTGAACATTTTTTAAGTACCGACTTTTAATTTTCAAATAATTTTCTTAATGTTTATAATATTCTAAAAAACAATATTAACAAAACGTAGATACAGTTGACATCAATTGTAGAATATTATATTATATTGCAAAATTAATAATAGCTGAGTTAATAATTTAAAACATATATCTATAACGAATTAAACATTTTATAGGTGAAAATAAATTTCAAATATTTTAATAAATAAAAAAAATCTCATAAGCGACATAGGCTAATAGACGTTTTTTTTTTTTTGTGTTTATAAAATACGATATTATGAACAAATTTTAATTGATTTACCTACGAATATAGCGTATGTTGGTCGTTAAGACTCAGTATCTTACGTATGCAAAAAAAATATCGTCTGACGAAAAAATAATATTTTGAAATTAACTTTTGATGAAATAAAATTGTTATAAAATATGATTTTATATATTATTTATTTATAGAAAATCTGTTTTGTATAAAATTATAATAATATTATGTTAGAAACGAAAATGTACATTATTCGTCCGATCATTGCGTTAGTATTAGGACAACGAACCCCTGTCTGGGTTTCTAACGTTGTGATCCACCCTCATAATATTCTTTGTCAGGTAACCGACGTACCATGACACGAGAAAATGTTCAACGTATTACACAAACCCGTCAAACGTAGACTCGTTCTTTAAAAACATAATAACTGTCTTGGTACGTTAGCAAGTTAACCCCTTCTTGGAAATGATCTTTTGTTACTTTTGATGCGTTAGAAATGAAATGATTACGATATGGCCCGCAGGATGTTAGTAATGGAAAGACAGGCGAGATATGATAGTTAAAAATGAAACGACCAAAACATCTCGGGCGTCAGTAATTGTAATTATATTAAATTTACACATATTACATTTTGTCAAAATATAATAATAACTTAGTTCGTATACAATATATGCGTAATGGATACGATAAATAAATAAATAAACTATACATTTAATATTATATTATTGATAGTTGCACAGTCTTGTTTTACATCGGATCAACGGGTGTGTGACCAGATATTTATTGTTCATCTTCTTTCAATCCTAAAAAATTATCACATTATAATATGATTAAAGCTTTTTATATTTCATTAGCGTATTAGCAAGTACATTATACATTATATTTCGAACGTATTGTTTACAACATCAATTGCGTATATGATAATAACGTACAAGCATAAAAACACTAAATATTAAACTAAATATTATAACTGGAGTTAGGATATTGTAGGAATTTGACTTTTTTTTTATTGGTATAAAAGGAAGCTAAATTATTATCTATAAACATGTAGAATAATTAATAATTTAAATAGTATTTTGTTTTTTGATTTTTTTTCACTTTTCAGTTTATTTCTTGTTATTATCAATATAATTATTACAAAATAGATTCTAGATAAACGTAACTAAAGATTTTAAATATTTAAAGGTTCGATATTTATTTTTATGTTTTCCATGGGTGTGGCTTAATCAGTTCTATCTCTTAATATATTAATTAATGTGTTAAAGAAGAGTTTAGCAGTCTTAAATTATAATATAAATTAAAATAACATTTTCAAATACTTTTCCATTTATTCGTATTTTTATGCATAATTAAAAATTTTAAAATAAGCTTAACCACTTATTTAATTAATAAAATTAAATCAAAAAAAATAAGATAGAAACAAAAATAATTCGACAGTTTATATTTTTGCAGGCTTTTAAAAAATTAAATTGATGTTTCTTTTAAGGTATTTTAGTTGGTTCTTTTATTTAGTATTTTAGTGCATTATTGCTTTAGTTTCAGTGATTTTTTTCAAAATTGTATAGAGCTGAACATTTTATAATAACTCTATTATTGATAAATAATTATTCGTAAACAATTTTTGTTTTTGATTATTATTAACTTTTGAGGAACATAAATAGAATTTTGAACGTTCTATCGTCTAATTAGATTCCAAATCACTACTGTAAAAATGTTCAACTTGTGATAATCTGGTGCGTTAATATTATCTTTTCATTGCCGTTTATTCGGGAGATAACACCCATAATATTAACGTTTGCCTATATATTATAATACCGCATACACGAAACTTATAAAATCAAGTTTTACACACGTTTTTCGGATCCAAAACCATAATTTATAGTATGTATTGAACGTAGTATTTACAATAATTTATATAGTTCAGATACGACTATATTATGGCGATTTTTTTGGTCTCAATTTGAATCGGTACCCGGAAACGTGTGACGAGTATTTTTTTTACCTCTTGTTATCGGATATCCACGTAGCGTACTCGTGCACCGGTGTATAAATCAACGACCCTACGCCCACACCTGTTTGGACGCCGGCCAGCTTGCCATCACACCACAGGCCACTTCCCAGCCGCCCTTCTTGCTGCAAAATCCAAACACAGTTTTGTTTTATTAGTCGAACGAGCGAAACAAAAAATAGAAAAAATCACCTAACTCATCAAATATGTAACATCTAATAGCTAATAATATTTGCTGTTGAAGCCTCAATCTTCAAATAAAAGAAAAAAATAATAAACAATCAAATGAAGTGATAGGTTGATTGAATTTATAAATCGCATTTACATTTCATATATTTATAAACTGCATTGTGTTAAATTGAGCTGAGGTGGAGGTATTTCGTGTGAAAACAGTCCGGAACAAATATCGCACTTATTTCTTTTGTGTATCAAAACATATCCATTTTTCGGTATCATTACATGTAATTTTTTTTTTTTTTTTATCATTACTTGTATTAAAAATTAAATACTTCCTAAATACCTAAAATATATCAATTTTGATTTATTTTGTTATAAAAGCACTTCTAATATGGCATACATTAAATAATTTTAACTTTTTTATTTGGCTTTCATGGCTATCGAAATTTACATGGGTCACGAAAAATGTTTAGTAAGAAAAGTGAGTCGCAGGTCGAAAAAGGTTGAAGACCACTGATATAGACAATATATACATAATATAAAGTACAGTGAATTAAATGATCAACGATTAAAAGTACATTTTAATTTGTCTTATTATCTATGAAAAAAATCATAATTATTTAAATTATTACAGAGTTAAAGTTCGTTAGGTCGGGCTACTCAAGACAAAATCATTTATTTAAAGTTTGGTATAGAAAGTACGAAAACTTCAAGTACTGACTTTAGGTATTACGTTTTTTTTTTTTTAAAAAAAATCTCATAACGTTGTAATAGAATGTAACAGACGTAACACGGTAAATGTATTCATCATAGGTCAAGTATTTTGAGTGGTCGACTAAATATCACAATACCTAACCTCACAATAACCTTAAAATAATATCATTATATTACCCGTCTCGTAACGACATTTTTATATTATGTAATTATTAATTAAATTAAATAAATTGTATTGTAATAAATTGTATAAATTGTAATTAATTTATGTAATTAATTAATTACTATAATATGTAATTTGTTTACAAGTTTAAATTTCATAACCAAGCACAAGTGGTATACATATTAAAAATAAATAATAGGTAAGGCACGTATAATTATAACATAACAGAACACTCAACGTTAATATATAGCTAGTAAATACTAATATATTTTTATTTAATGGAAGTCAATAGACTTTGATCAACCCAAAGGCACGACGCGTTAACACTATTGATCTCACGGAAGTATATTTCCAAATTTATGCGGGTGGCAATCGTTAGAGATGATCATGTCAAAAATAAATATAAAATCGATTCGAAACGTTTTACGAATGAAATATTTATTTATTTATTATGCTCATTATATTTTAATGCAATAACCAAGGATTGGAACATTATGTGCTAAAAGTACTACAATATACTTTAGAAAAACATCAAAATATGCGATATAATATGCAGTAAAAAATTGGAAAATAATTGCTTAAAAAATAAAAAACTGTCTATTGACTAGTGTACACTGTACAATGAAGTTGCTTGCATGTAAATGTATGTACTATTATAACGAACAGAAATAATATTGTGTATAAGCTGATAACGTAATGGTTTAACATAATTGTTTACGAATTACTTATGGTTATACAATTTGTTAATGTCATGTTACAAAATATTAATAAAGTGGCAAATTTGTATAAAAATAAATACGGGTCGGTGGTGGTCATTATTACAAGTTCTCGGTACTATAGAGATTATATTATTGTTAAGTGCATTGAGAACCGAAGCAATACAAATAATAGCCATTGATGAATTAATTTATTTTGTCAAATGATATCAACTTAGAATTTTGGTTGTCATATATCTAATAATTTATTAAACTATACATTTTTTTAAATCCATGAAAAATGCATATAAATGTTCTTAACCCCAAAATATACGAATTGGTACAAAAAATAACAAAATATGCAAAATTATGCAACAAAAATTTTTATACCTGAAATACACATACTATAAATTTAATTTGTATCGAATTAGAATTTCAATATGCACTTTCTGGACAAATATGCAAAAGCTTAAAGTTTCGAGCCATGGTAATAACATTGTCATACAATTGGTTATATCAAATTGAATTTCCGATGAATTTAGTTGATTAACAATTTCTTAGATGGTTTAACGTTAAATTATAATTGAGTTGGATTTCGGTAATAACTAATTTATTTTGTTTTAATGTTGGCTTTTATATCGATTCCTTCAATTATTAAGCTGTACCCAACGATTTTTATTTAATTTAACTATCTACAACATGATGCATATATTTTTTTTCTACAATAGTTTTTTTATTTTTTACAACTTGCTACTTTCTCTACTTCGTTCCATGTACAGGAATACTGCAGTATTAACTATTATACACCCATATTACTTTTCTCATTATTTCTTATTACAGACTACTCTTCACGTAACATATTAAAATAAGTCATAAGTAATCCCTTCAGTTTCTTCGGTGCTAAAAGTAATACTTAAACTTTCCTTTTAATAGCTTATAAAGTTATTGATCTGCTTATTTACATTTCAAAGAACGTATATACGAGTATTATGGTTATCTGCTTTTTTCCATAAATTAACAGATACATACACACACACACACACATATATATATATATATATATATATATATAATCATTATTTTTGTTATAAAAACAGATTAATTCGATTGTTCGTTTGTAAACTATTTTGTTGGATATTTTTGGCGTATAACCATTTCTGTACATTTTAATTGTTTGTTATTTTTACGATAAATCGGTACCATGAAAGTCGAAACAATTAATTGGGAAAATATTTTACGTCGTATAACATTTTGAATATAATATTATATGTATTAAAATTTAAACGTGCTAATTTAATTATTCTAAAAATTAACATAATAATATTGTACGAGCCAAACGCCTGCTGTAAGCAAAACGCGCACACACTCACGTTGTATTGCATCCTCCAGCTGTTGCACGGCAATATCAAATATGAATTGCTAATCATGTCCCGCAATTGCACGCGACTTTCACAGTTTTCGGCTGAAATAGTATACATCGTCTTACAGTAAGAATATCGTTTTGTTTTCAATATTACCATAAACTGGACCAACCTGATTTTATCAAGTTCTTGTGATAGGCGTTCTGATTGGTCTTACATACTTCATTAATGACGTTATTTTTTTTTTGAACAAAACACGGTGTGCATTCTTGGCCTTCGAGTGGTACGGTCAAACTGACCAGCGCTAATAACAGTTTCCAACACAATCGTGAATAAACGCATTTTTGCGTCATAAATCTTATAATATCATTAAGTTGTTCAAAGAACAACAATATTGTAGTCTATACCTAAATCATTATTCTCCTGTGGGGTTTTGGACTTTGGCGATTTGAAGTTCTCGTGCACTAAAATGTTTGAAATACTCAGCGTTGCTCCCCCTATGTCCTTACGGCTTACAGCCACTCTTCTAATAGCTGCTTTATTCAACCTGTAACCAATCAATCGATAAAAATTAATATGTTATAGTATTAAGTACGTAACAAAAACGGCATGTTAAAATAATCAGTATTACCTATTACACGCGGTTAGCAAAAGTTGAATTATCACGTTTGACTAATTAATATTTTCGAACTTACAATGTGTTGTACATAAACACAAGACTAAAGATCAAAGTATAAAATTATTTTTTTTAGTTGCAAACGATAAATTATTATTATAACCGATAAGTATTTTAAATTTTATATAAGTGTAGGTATAAGGGTAAATATCTTTTGGTGTTCGATTTTTGTTGGAACTGTTCCTCTCGTAATACAGTGAAAAAATATTTCATTAATAACCATTCAATATTTTTTCATGACCATTAAAACGTATTTTATTTACGTTAAATAATTTGATCTAATAGGTACATACATAAATCGTTGAGAATAAGTCGTACATATTATATTTATATGGCAATACATATTTCGTTAGATTATGATTTTTCACTTTACCTGGAAGCGCACGTAGCAGACGTGAGTACCCATATGTCGTCTAAAAGTGTTCCGTAGCACATTGGTTTTTTTTCTACCAAAAATATTACCTCGCTTTTACAAGTTTTTTGACAAATGTTTTTTTCCGCTTTGAATTCATCATCAATATCCGACTCTTCTGTCTCCGGTTCAATCTTATCGGATTCATTAACCCTTTCACCGTCTTCCCCGTTCTCCGGAAATATTTCTGTTTTAAACTGCCCATCATCTAATGTTTCTTCGGGTCTCGCCAATTGATCCACAGCACCGGTTTCTGTTGATTCACTGTTGTTGACGAACATTTTCTCGTCTTCTTTAATCTCGTTCATCATTGTATTTTCTTCTATTTTCGCTTCAGAACTACCGATTACCGTCTCGTCAACTTTCATACTATTCGCGGTCTCGTTTATTAACTGTTCGATGATCTTTTTTACAACCAACTCGATTTGGTTTAATTTCGCCAGCTGATCATTGTCTATTTTCGAAGAATCTACGTTTTCTCTTGCAGTTTTTCTCGCTTGCTTATCCATGGCCGAGATCGAAATCACATTTTTACCGATGTTCAGCTCGTCTACTGCTTTGACAGGAGTGGCGTTTTTTACGATTCCGTGCAACTCGTTCTTAGGTTCGGTGGAAGTTTTGGTATTAAAATCTACCATTAATGGCCCCGAGTTCAACGAGCCTTTGCTCAACTTGCAGCAGACGAAGGGCGAGGCTGGAGTGAAAGCACGTTTTAAACCTGAACAATTACCCGACGGATCGGGTAAAAAATCATCGTCCATGGTGCAATCATTACCTAAGAGACAATATCCTAGATCGGAACCACATGTTTCGACACCTGTTATCACGAACAGCCCTTGAAATAAAAACAATTCAAATAATGATAGTACAGTAGATAAATTAAGTTACATATTATTATGTAATTTATAGGTGACAATTCGTTACACCGGTGGTTGAGATTATCTAATATCGTTGATCCGAATTCATAATAAATGCTATTGGATAAAGTCAAGTAAAAATGTCAAAAATGATATCTCTCCAGTTAAAAATGCAAATCTATGTACATATAATTATTTAATAATAATTTTATAAAACATTATTATATTTCATTGATAATATAAAAATTATTAATTATGACTATATGTCATCATATGGTAAGAAAATCGGTTTTCAAATCGAACCATCGAACAACATAAAGTTAATTGTTCGTCCACTCGAAATTCGCACAATCCTGTACATGAACAAACCACGCATAGTTTGAATAGTTACGTGATCCGAAATAAAGCACTTGAGTAAATCGCACGTGATTGATACCGTTGATGAAATGACGCATTCGGTACACCTTATAAGTTTTATGGGGATTTTGATGATTTCGTGGGTCGAACAAAATCGATTATCTTTCCGGCGCAAAAATAAAAAAAAAAAATAAAAATTAATTCGTGTTGGCTTACCCGGGTCCACCAGTGGTTTGTTCATCGACGCCGGTAACGAGGTCACGATGCACAGGATCGTGGCGAAGAACAACATGACGATGACGGGCCTAAAACAGAAGAACTGGCGTGAGGCCCGCGCGATGTTATTGTGCTCGACGCGGAAGTGACGGGTCGCGCGCGACGACGTTCGGCCGACAATCGTACGGCGTGCTGGTCGTTTGGCAGTATCGCGCGTCTCTGCGAGATGTCGGCGGCATGCGCGCTTATATTGTCCGCTGTACAGATGAGTCACTGTACCGCCGGTAAGATGCGATATTACCGACTCTTGTCTGGGAACGACAAGGGAACATAATAAAAATAAAAAATCACCCAAGACACGCCTGCTCTGGTTGACATACATTAATTAATATTCATGGCGTGCACCGGCGCGGCGCGCGATTCGTACACGAGCACGTACTTGGAGTACCGTAACTTTAATTGTGATGGAAAAAAAACCGTACGCGTGTACGTATGGTAAAGTTCTACGACCTGAACGGACTGACCTACAAAGGATTCGCAAATTATAGGGCATAACTGATTAGCATTTTCCTATTCTTGTGCGCGCGTCCGTCAACAACACATCCCGGAAGATGACACTTCACAGTTCACTTGACCTCGGATACTGTTATAAACGTACACGGTTGGCACAACAACAACGACAAAAACAATAATGCGAAGAACGATCAAATACCGATATTCGATCAGACTTTATGGCTTTGGCACAATAATTCACCGTGCTACATATTATTAATTCGACGAATACTTAAAAACAAAAGAATTTATACTTAACGTTGGGAAATAACGGATCGTCCATGATAAAGTAAAAGTTTCGTTTCACCCAATAATATTTTCAAAAAAATAAAAAAAAATTAACATTTTCAATAAACCATAAATAATTATATTAAGCTTTTCGTATGCATATTAAAAACTAATTTTGAACTAGAAACGATGTACATGGAGTTGGCCCACTTAAATCAAGCAAGCGACTCCAAACTTTTACAGGCATTTTGCAATTAATTTACTATAATTTACTATGTGGATTTCAGAATTTGCATATCCGCGATTTTTTTTGGAAAAACCTATTTTTGATTCGGGGGCTAACTTCACGACAGCCCCCCAATTTCAAGCTAGCGACTCCAAACTTCACAGGAATTTTGTAATTAATTTGCTATTATTTGCTATGTAGTTTTCAGAATTTGTATACCTATGATTTTTCTGGAAATTAATGTATGAAACTCTATATTCTACAAAGCCCTCCCCATCCGATTTCAAGCTATACAGTTATTTGAACCTATGATTAAAAAAAGCACCCCAATATTGTTTAATTAATATTATACTGATTTCATTTTATTTTTTTGCAAATAATTTGCATTGCAATGCAGATTCAAAAAAGTTTAAGCAGTGGTGGTGCCACGATCTGTTATTGGAAGGATCAAAAAGAGATCAAGTCAAAATATTCAAAAATAATTTTTTAGCACAACCCACTTCCCTGAAAATAAAATCTATGAGCAATATGTCTTTTTTATCCTTCCAATAACAGATCGTGGTACCACCACTGCTTAAACTTTTTATGAATCTTTATTGAAATGCAAATTATTTGCAAAAAAAAATGAAATCAGTATAATATTAATTAAACAATATTGGGGTGCTTTTTTTAATCATAAGTTCAAATGACTATATAGCTTAAAATCGGATGGGGAGGGCTTTGTAGAATATAGAGTTTCATACATTAGTTTCCAGAAAAATCATAGGTATACAAATTCTGAAAACTTCATAGCAAATAATAGCAAATTAATTGCAAAATGCCTGTGAAGGTTTGGAGTCACTAGCTTGATTTAGGGGGGGCCAACTTCACGTACATCTAGAAGCGGTTTCCAACAGAAAGATGTGGTAGGTAGATCAATCCGTATAGATAAGTTATCTTTCTGTAACAACATTCTATAATTGTATCTATATGAAATATTTATAAATTTATAGTTTCGGTAAGGATTAAAATAAAATGTAAAACAAGAACGAGAATGCTTTTTTCACTGGAACTGCGGATAACTTAGCTGTTGCTAATGTCGTATTTTCGTACACAACTCGTTGAACATGTGACAAAAGAATTTTTTTTTTTAAGCTTATCACTTTCCCTGTAATATATTGAGAGTAAAATAAGTAGTGAGTCCTGATCGTTATAAAAATAAATGGAGTAAAGTAACAATTCTATAGACTACATCACCGAATAGAATATTAAATAAACCTCTCATTTTTGAGACCAATATACGTTCTTTATAATTTGGAACATAAACGTCTCGTCAACGTTGAATACGAAATTATTTCCTACTAAGATTCATGACCATCGACCATGCATTGCAGGTCAAGGTCTTCTAAAAGTATTCAATAGATCTTTTTGACTAATAAATGGAATTAGGATTCTTGAATATATTTTAAGCTTATAAATTACTTCCATACAACAGACGTATTTTACCATTTATCGAAACTATATTTTATTTTATTGGTTTGGTTTTAAAGTGTATTATACTTATTATACAATTTATTTAAGTAAAAAAAGGTTTTTCTAAATAAATTTTGAGTGTATGCTTAATAAATCTATTGTGTCTATTTATATCTAACATAGTTAAAAATAATAATAGAACTTTAATACATTAATTTTTAGTAATATTAATATATCTTACTATTAAAAAAAAATTTGAATGATAATTTTACTATACAGCTGGTTAGTATAACCACGTACATATTTTATATATATATACACACATAACATTTTAATAAAAAATTATTATTGTTCTAATTACTATTGTTCAATATTATATTAATAGTACGAAATGAACAAAAAAAAAAAATTATCAATTATTAAACATTTCAATATAAAGGTAACTTCTACAAGAATTACATTTTTCAAATATAGCCAAAACAATCATAATGATTTTATTTGAATAAACTGTTTAAGCGATCATTTGTGAACGTTGTTTATAGATTTAGTTACTATACATACCTTCTTCGATGTGTCATTTTGGAAGACTTGAACGAACGACAAGTAAAACAATAATATTTAACAAACTACCGTGATAACGAACTATGTCTTTTAGCAGACTACTGGTTACTTTATAATGAACTGTTCTTCTTTCTACGATTTCCCCCACCAATACATTTTGTTAATCAATCAAAGCTTCGACAATGCGTTATATAGATTTAAACATTTAACAGTATTTCAGTATTCGATTTCAGTATTATTTATTTTAGCCCGTTTGTATCTAGTTAAACGAGTTCGTGAATATTGAACATTTTTTGTGCTAAAATGCCTCTAGTCATTTAATTTAATTATTGAATATATTATTAAACTCTAAACTGCTTGCGTTCGGTTTTTTCAAATATGACCATAAAAATAAACTATTGTAAAAGATCCCAAAATAGATTTTTTTTAACCTACCGACATTGATTTATTAATTTCTTGAACATATAATAATTATTGTGCCGAAATATTTGAAATTGATAAAGTGAAAGTAATAAGTATTTTTTTTGGTTTTAGTTTAATTCAAATTACCTATTTATTTTATTCTTGATTATTATATTACACTATAAATAAGCTTGCTACATTTAATATATTCTCAATAGTTTACTAAATTAATATTAATAAATTGGAGTACCCTATTTATCACTTAAAGCCAAGGAGAAATAAAACAATGGTCGATTTTTTTTTGTTAAATATCAAATATTTTTACAACTAATATTGCACAATGATTTTAATAGAGATTAATATGCTTGAGTTTATTAGTTTTGTATAACAACTATAATTTTATAACGTTCATTAAATTCTAAAATAGAGTGTATATGTAGATTTAAATAAAAAAATATTGTGAATGTTTAATTTTTTATTTTGTTAAATTGATAATGTAAGTACGCGTGAAAATAATTATTGACTTGTATGAGATAAATGTATGCAATATTATGATTAATAAGTTATTCACATACATTTATTTTTTTATAATCATCATACACTATAAGTTGAATTACTTTGCAACAGTGTACTCGCTTAATTTATTATTAATGTTTGTACTTTGTTTAAATGAAATGTACATGTAGTTGTAAATAATTGTTGACTCGTTGAGGGTTTATTATTCTGCGACTGTCTACTTAAACCTACCTTAGTTAGGTGTTTTAAATGTAAGAAAAATTTAAAATTCCTCTTCTTCAAGGAACTATTTATATTTTTTCGTGCAGGTAATGAAGAGTATTACATTCAATCTACATATACTCATATATTAATGAGATTTCTTGTATCATTATCAAGGTACGATGTCAAGTTTCGTCCTATTTTATGATCAAGAATTTTTTCTATGCTTCCTTAAGTAATAAATTTAATGCATTTGTGGGAGGTAATTTACTGGAGAATCACATTGTATTAATACCTGTACATACCTATATTATTATACAGATATAATAACAATAAAATATGTAAAGTTTTTTGTCGCTAAGAAATAAAAAAAAGAAATTATATACTTATTTATTTTAAACAAATAACTATAAACTATATGTGGTATAAAGTATGTAAATATGACGTTATAATATATTATCATACCAAGGAATGATATGTTGTTAAAATATTAATTTCTGCTATTTATGTTATTTTTTGCGTAAACGATGATATACAATTATTGGAAATCAATAATATCTACTCCTAAATAAAACATACATTTTATAAAAAAAAAAAAAAAAAAATACCATAGATTTTAATTTTAAATAAAATCATTTTTATTTTGTTTTCTTTCTATTTAAAAAAAAAAATAATTTTTTTATCCTTAAACTGTATTATCAATTTTAAATTCATTAGTTTACAATTATTGTTCTAACAAAAAAAAAATCTATTATGATACGATTTATGTTTTAATTAAGTCAGCGATCGGTTTCTAGATGAATTAAACCACCACAGTTAAACATAATAGTTTTTTAAATTGATTTTACCGTTTATTGTATATCGTATGCACCGAAAAGTTTTCAAGTTTTAGATGTTTGAATTTATTATTTATACATTTTTGATATTCAATAGGTGTATTATTATTTGGTTTTGAACGTATAAATCGTCGTGACCGTAAAACCGTACAAGTACACATAAGTACGTAATAACAAATATTTTTGTTTCTCGAATGATTACGTTTTATTATAAAAATAATTCATTATGTGGAAAATATGAAGTCATTAACGATATTTCATGATGTTTAGTACAGTATGATAGGAAAGATTTTTTGATCGATTGAATGTTTCAACGAATATATAATAGACGAGTTAAATTTAATACTTACAGTTTTACAAGTTTTACAGTTTAGTTGCAAGACTGGACAAATCGACATCATTATTTAGTTTACACGTATAAAGCTCTACGTATCGATAATATTCAAGTGAAATATTGAAAATTATTAAATTTCAGAATTTTAATAAGCTCGGACACTTACAGTTCAAACGAA